GCATTGCGGCACCGTGCATTCCGGTGCAGGCGATCCGTGCGATCCTCAGCTTGGGGGTCCAGTGCTGAGCTGTGACTAGGCCCGGCGCTACCGCAAGGCAAGGCAAGCGGCCGCCTGAGGGCGGAAAAAAAACAGTACCTGCACTTGTCAAAATGCCCCGATGCTTGCACTATGTTTTTGTTTTTCACTTACCTTCGGTGCGGCGAGTCAGCGCTGGTCCGGTGGGAGGAGCTCCAGGTGGGGGTCCTAATTTAGCTGGCCGGCGACTGCCAGAGGATCCTGACACGCAGTCGCCGGCCAGCTAAATTAGGACCCCCCACCTGGAGCTCCTCCCACCGGACCAGCGCTGACTCGCCGCTGCTCTCCCTCGCCGAAGGTAAGTGAAGGAAAAAAAACATTTATTTTAAAAACTACGCAGAGCCCGAAAACAACAAAGCTGAAAGGAACAAAAAAGTGGATGGGGTGCGGAGGAGGGGGAATTGAAGAAGAGGGGAAGGGGACAGCAGCCAAAAACGTAAAATACACTATGCAGCTTACATGCTGATAGGGAGCAGGCCCAGCGCTACAGGGGGTTGGGGGGGGGGGCGCAAAAATGCAACTTTGCCTGTGTAGGCAAAAATCCTAGCACTGGCCCTGGCTGTGACGGAGCTCCATCCATACATGTATTGCTTGTACATCTCCCTGTAGAGGTGCTAGGAGGCAGAATGTGACGTCACTCTGGTCCAGGCACCTCTACAGGTCATGTCAGGAGCTGTAAGCAACGCACGGATGGATGGAGCTCCCTCACGGCCATAGCTCCAGCCCACCCCACCTCAAGCTGAGACTTGGCACCGGGCAGCATATTCTGAATGGCTGCTCAGCGCAAAAACTGATGCTACGCAAGGGGTAGTAGGCTGAGGAGCCCCTCGCATAGAAAGTGGAAGGCACGCGGCGACCCACTGAAAACGGGGGCGCGACCCACCAGTTGAGAATCAAGGCTCTAGAGGACATTTCAGGGAAAAGCCAAAACATAGAAGAGGAAGAGCGCCGCACTGATAACCGGGAGTCCAAATATGTTTATTTATATCATTAAAGGAGAACTATGAGGTGAGTGATAATCACTGACCCTCATAGTTCGAGCCGACGTGTGACAATAAGACTGTCACAGGTCGGCTCAATAGATCGGGAAGTGAGCGAACACATACCGTCGCTCGCTCACTTCTCGATCATCTCCCTGCAGAGAGCCGTGACTGTCACTCGCGGCTCCCTGCACGGATTTCCCCGCTCCTCCAGCACTGACTGGCGGAACGGACGGGGTAGGGGGCGGGTACAGCTGGCTCTGCCTCACGCAGCTGGGTGGATACAGACATAATTGTCGGGATCCACTGCGGCGTCTCAGTATACCGCGAGCTGTAGCTCCCTATATACTGAGCTTAGGGTGACGGGAGGACGCTAGTTTGTGTCCTCCCGTTACCCTAAGGAGAACTATGGGGAAAAACACTGACCTCATAGTTCTCCTTTAAAGCTTGACAAGAAAGACCAACGTGTTTTGGAGGTTTGCAAAGTCCTCCTCCACCGAGGATCACATGGGGAGTATAAGAGATATTATTGGCTGAAGTCTTGTTACTGTTACTTCCTACAATCTTTATACTTCCAATACAATCTATTGAACTTATCCCTTCTGAAACCTGATGATGGAGGGGGAATGTCAAACTCCCAAAACGCGTTGGTCTGTGTTTGCTGACCATACAGAAGGTGAACCTCTAATCTCTATGAATGAAAAGGATAATAAGAAGTAATAGAGAGACCTGTAGAAGGGACAATGTCCGGCAAACACTTGGTTTGGCGCAGATGACCCTCTCCAGCACACGTAGTTCCCTGCAAGCTCCTTCACCGTCTCCAGAGTCCGCCGCTCACACGGGTAAGACTGGACACTGCACCCTGAGGAACATTACAAGCCAGAAGTACCAATCAGTACACCGATGTGGAGATATTCTGAACAATCAAATCCTCATACAAGATCTATTAAAGCTCAACTCCGGGATGAGCAGATATTGCCCTCATACAGAGTCATGTGTAATAAAGACCGGTCACTGCTTCTCTCTCCTTGTGCTGGGTGACTGGTCTCCTCTCCACCCCCTTCCTGTAATAACGACCAGTCACTGCTGCTCTCCCTCCATGTGCAGGGTGACTGGTCTAGTCTCCGCCCCCTCCTGTAATAAAGACCGGTCACTGCTCCTCTATCTCCTTGTGCAGGGTGACTGGTCTAGTCTCCGCCCCACTCCTGTAATAAAGACCGGTCACTGCTGCTCTATCTCCTTGTGCAGGGTGACTGGTCTTGTCTCCGCCCCCTCCTGTAATAAAGATCACTCACTGCTGCTCTCTCTCCTTGTGCAGGGTGACTGGTCTCGTCTCCGCCCCCTCCTGTAATAAAGACCGGTCACTGCTGCTCTCTCCTTGTGCAGGGTGACTGGTCTCCTCTCCGCCCCCTCCTGTAATAAAGACCGGTCACTGCTGCTCTCTCTTCTTATGCTATATTTGTGGCGCTCTCTTCCTCTCCACACTTCTTAAACTATTCCAGAGATCCCAGAGGATTTCCCGGCTGACAATGAGCTGTCTCCACAACTCGGATCTAGAGCCTCACCCTTCCTTCGTTAGGTCCAGCACTCTACCAACACACCTGAGGGTCTGTTCATGAATCTTCTGCCCAGCCATGTGCTGGCTGAACCCTAGACCCCTTTACTGTTGCGCTGGGACATCTCAGAAGAAGTCCAGAGGGTTGAGGTGTAAATAAAAAACCTACACCATAAGACACAGAGCCAGAAGAATTTTAATCTAAGAAACCAGAAAGCCAACGCGTTCCAGAAGCCAACGCGTTCCAGAAGCCAGGCTGCACCTCCATCAGGGCTCAGAATATGAAGCGTAACAACAAAATCAGGACAAGTGAACAATGTATTTCTATTGAAATGTAATGTTTTAAATGAACTA